GGGGACACATCGTTTGGCTGCTTAGAGGAGTCTTGGTTTCCTGTGTAGCGCCTTCCCGCCTTCCCCGGCCTCTGTCACCTTTATATATCAGTAAGAAAACGGAAGAGTTGCTACCAGGACACACCTCCGGCCACATTCCCACACCCAAAGCCTGTCATTACAAACTCACACAATTCCAGTGTTTCATCCCCCAAGTTGAAGACAACCAGGAAGGTAAGGTGGAGGCATGTCAGGCACCATGCTAGGCCCCGTAAGGAACATTTCTGTTGGTTCTGCCCACCCAGCATCCCTTACTCCCTACTCCTAGACATAGCACTCCTTTTCCCAAGGTTCTAGTGGGGTGACAATCATAGTATCCAGCCCACCTATTGGCCACATACTGAGGTGGACATATGACCTGGCCATTTGAAGAACCTTATCCCTTTGATGCCATAATGAGGGCTCAGGATCCAAGCAGAACCAACTTGAGTCCCATCCTGGGGTTTTACAGGTAAGAGCCAGAGAAAGAAGCTCCATCCTGTGTTTCCCAGTTACATGAGCCAAGACATTCCCATTTTGCTCAAGTTAGTTTACATTTGGTTACTGTTACTTGCAACCAAAAGAATTCACACTGGCGCAGGTATTTGCATCTTTTCTCATTTCATCTGCTTAACAATCTTAAAGGTTGCTATTATTCACTGTTTTAGAAGAGAAACAACTGAGGTTAAGTAACTTGCCCACGTTCACACATTAAGCAAGAGACATTCAAATTCAAACAGTAAGTAAGAGGCATTCAAATTCAGGTCTTTCTGCTCTAAATCCCATTCAGTATCCAGTTATGAATTACATATTAACTCAAAAAGAAATTCACTGCCATTCAAAAGCCAAAGGAAAAAAAAAGAAAAAGAAATAAAGTTAAATAGCTTTATTTACAGAAAAAAAAAAAAGGGGCCAAAGAATTAAAATTATAGTGGAAATTTAAGGTAGGAGGACGTGGGGGGAGCATTAAATGATACATAATGATAAACAGCATTAAACTAGGGTCAAAGGACCTGGCTTCTACCTCTGGCTCTGTCCTATGACCTCAGCTATTATGACTCTGGGCAAGTCACTTCACTTACCTCAGTGTTCCCAACTATAAAATGAGAAGCCTGAACAACATGAACTCAAGATCCTTTTAAGTACTTAAAGAAAAACAAGTCCATGGTTCTGCTTCAGCCATACAGATTCTATTTTTACTATACATCAGGTAAGATGTCGAGCAGATTGAACTTGAACGTCAGATCCTACAACTGGTAATGGCTAGCTGGGGTAAAGGATTCTGAGCTAGAGATCTACTGGGAAATCAGCACTGGCTTCCAGGATCACAGGCAGGAAGAGAGAGAAAGTGTGAGAAAAGTCCTTGCCACACATTTGCCATTGCTGATAAAAGAGTTCCCCCTTGACAGAGAACACTGTTGTCTCCACTGTCGATGCTACTAGTACCTGCACAGGATTTTCACTGATTCTTCTATGCACTTACTCAGTTCCCTCTTGCAGGCAAGGAGTGAAAGCACAACAAAGGTAAGTGGTTTAGGAAATATCGCTTGGAGCCACTGAGGACAATGTATCTAAATGGGTGGGAGTAGGGGTGAAGGGGAACAATAATAATCAGTATGGCTCTTTAATATATATACACAGTCTCATAAGATCTTAATAATTAGCTTATCAGTTAACTAGGGTATTATGATACATACCCATTTTATAGAAATGAAAAATGAGACTCAGGTAAGAGGACTCACCCAAGTCACCCACTTCTAAGTAGCAGAATCCAGATTCGAATCCAAGTCTTCTAAATTCTAGTCCCAGTGCTCTTTCTACTCCCAAGGTCCCCACTAGTCCCACAGTCCAGATGAGTTAACTAATCGAGCTCCCACGCAAAGTGGCATATTCATCCTTGTTTGGAGCTATTCACATAAGTTCCTCCCCCCAAAATACAAAACGTTGTTACTGTCTAATTAGTTTGTAATTTAATCAGTAGACATGCATTGAGTATATATAAATTCAGCAAAATCAAGCATAAAAGTTAAATATTTAAAGAAATGATGCAGAAGAAACCACCCTGTGGGACAAATAGAAGATCTAGTTTCAACACAGTTGTATTAAACTTAACATAACCTCTACAACAACTCAGTGAGATGGAAATCTGACATCAGGAGTACATTTTGTCAAAAATGAGGAATGAAAAGAACTGGAATTGAACTAGGTAATATGTATCTTAGAAATGATAATAAATGCTTCAAGGAAGGCATTCAAGAAAAGGCATTACTATAACTTGCTACATTTCCTTAAGTCTGACAACCAGGGCTCAACTTGAACCAGAATATGTGTTCCTAGTATGACCAGACTTTTATGTATAAGGAATTCAGGCCAAACAAAACAACAGCCAGACTTCTGACACATCTGACTGTGGTTAAGAGCAAAGGACACCCCTCACTAGCTCTATACTAGTTACACTTTCCACGAGAGAGAGAAATGGTTGCAAGAACAGGAGGTAATACATAAAGCAACTGCAACATAAAATCAAAATTCCTCAAAAGAAGGCATGTGTTCCCTATGTCACGAAGGGCAGTGGCCCTGAACAACACAGCCCATGTCCCTACTTAATAGACTCCCCAAGCCTTAACACCTACCCACATCAATAAATACCAGAACTGGAACTTTCAGTGACATGCATCTAACCCTCTGACAAAAGCACAGAGTTATTCTCAAACATCTCTGACGAGCAGTCATCCCGCTGTTTAATTACCTCCAGTGACAGGGAACTCAGCACCCCAGGGTCCTGTTACTGTCCCTGAGGCCTATTAACCCAAAGGCCTAAAGTACCATCTCACTACTCAGGGAGAGGCCTGGGGCCTAAGTGATCACAGGGCTCTCCTCACTGCTGGCCAATCCAACGATGCTTCTCGTCTGGGCCACTCCCAGAGCCCCTAACCCTGAGCAGGACCCAAAATTAGCACAGTGTTAATAAATCAGTGATTTCAGGGTTAGAAAGGGCCCTCCAAAAACCAAAACTATGATCTTCATACCACAATTCCAAAGGAGGAACCTCAGGAACAGCCTGGGCCAGACTCAAGGGAGGCGGACGGAGAAGTCCCAGTTTCCCTCCCTCTCATTTCAACCTGAGAACCTTGATCTGCTATATATCGGAGATCACAGCAGTTTTTTTTAAAAGTCTTCTGCTTTTTAAGGGGGAAAAAAAGGAGGAGACTATTGCCAGGTAAATAAACTAAGGCCATAAAACCTGCTTCATAAGATCATGGCTAATCATCGCAGGGTTAAGACAACAACCTGGTGTCTTCACCCCTTCTCTAGCGCTCTCTCTACCACATAACATCTGACTGCCTCCAGGGCAAAGTCCAAACTCCACACCGTGATAAACAAGGCCCTTCAAGATCTCCCCTGCCTACCACTCCAGTCCAGTTTTCCTGAGTGTCCCCCAAATCAGCCACACTCAAATGCTTATCCAACCAATTCATTAACACTGCGAAGCGGCACATTCATCCTCATTTGGAGTAGCTCACATAACAAGTTCCTCCAAAAAAATCTGCAATGTCATTACTGTCTAATTTGTTGGTACTTTAATGGGTAGACACGCATTGAGTATATATAAATTCAGCTAAATTGAGCATGAAAATGACCTATTTCCACATCTTTGTGTGCATACTCTTCTCTTAGCCCGAGGCGCCCTTCTCCACCTGTCTGCACTGGAACCAACTACTCCTCTTTAGAGATTTGTTTCAGACATTATCGCCTCTCTCGGCCCTCCAGCAGAATTGGCCACATTCTCCTCTGTGCCTACACAGCATCTACAAGGCTGTATGATGCTTGTTTTGTTACTCTGTCTCCCCCACCATTCCCTTTAAATCATGTTATTCTAACACAGTGCTGGTCAAAAGATAGGTGCTTGCTTAACAGATGCTTATTGATGGACTGAATGTATTCATCTGGCCCAGTCCCCCTTCTGATGCTTGAATATCCTCTGCAAACTGCCACTTGTTAATTCATGCATACATACACTCATTAAAAAATATCTCAGTGTCTACAAAGTATCAGGCTCTGGACTGTGTGCCAAAATTAAGTGGATTTACCACGAAATTAATGAAGTTTAAGCTTCAGGGCCCCTCATTTACACCTCCCAAAGCTCTAAACCTTTGTGATTCTGTATTTTCATTTCTTAAAGAGGACAGGCAGAACTGCATAAGCTTCAAGCTCCACAAAAACTAGATCCACCCTTGGTGCCAAGGATACAAAAGTGAACGAGGCAAACATTTTCTCTCTCCCTTTACAGAGTTTCCCGTTTAGTGGGGAAGACAGACAACCATTTGTTCATTCATTCATTCAACAAACATTTACTAAGCAACGCCATGAGTCGGAGTCGGGCACTGGGGCTTCTGACGTGAAGCCAACACTGTTCCTGCCCTTAAGGAGAAGGTTCCTGCTCCCCTGAACGAAAGCCTGCTGTGTTCAAAGCACAGAAGTAGTTTAGATGACGCTAACATGGAGTGTTTGTGAAAGATTATCCTTAACCAGTCTCAAGACGCACTGATCCCCAGCATGAGCCCTAACCTGCTGCAGGAGGCGAGGGGACGGGAGAGTCAGCTGGACACAACATGTGATCTCCACGCGGGGGAAGGGGAGAGGACCGAGACCAGTAAACAGGAGAGGCAAGTACGCCGCGGTCAGGGCCGCGACAGGAAAGCAGAGGAACGCGGGGGCGTTTCGCCGGCGTTCAGGTCTGCAGCGACGGCGAGCTCAGCAGCTCCGCAGCAGCGCGGGAGCTCTGCCCACACACTTCCGCGCTCCCCACCGCGCGTCCCCAGTCCCCGAGACAAGGCTGCGCCCTTTCCGGGACAGCTGTCGGCCCCCCGGACCAGCTCTCCGGTCCCCGCTTCAGTCCAGGCGGCCTTCACACAACGCGCACGGGACGGGGTCGGGCCGCCCCCCGCTCCGACCCGCCGTCTCCATAGCAACCCGCTCACCACTTCGCGCGCCCGGCTGGAGAAGTCGCCCTTGGGCCGCGGGCTCCGGCGGAACAGCTCGTCGCGGCTGCCGTCAGCCCCGCCGCCCACCGCCACTCCCAGCGCTTTGTTTCGCGTCTTCACGGTCTTAACGCTGGCCCGGAACAGCAGAGTGATGTCCACCGCCATGACGGCCCGCACTCACAGCCCCCGACCCGGCCGGCCCACGTCAGCAGCCGGCGACCGCGGCGCGAGCCCGGCCCCCGGCGGACCGTTCCGGCTCCGCACGCCTCCGCACGCCAACCGCGACGCGAGAAGAAAGGTTCCGGCCTCCGCCGGGCTACCGCGGCCAGAGCAGAAAGGTTCCGGCCTCAGCGCACGCGCGTGGCGGACCCCCGCGGCGCCCGGACCTCGCGGCGCGCACAGCCGCGCCCCTTCTCCCCCAACCCCCCACCTCTGCGGGCTTGGCCGCGCGGGCAGGTCCCCGAACCCCCCGCCCCCGCGGGCTGGTGTAGGGCGTGTGGGCCGCGGGAGCGAGAGGACCAGGAAGCTGACCCCTTCTCGAGACTCCCGCACGGACCGAGCCGGCCGCGGGTGGCCGGAGGCGACTCAGCCTGACCTTTGACCTCAAGGACGCACCTTGTGCGGGACGGAGTTCATGGACCGTGACATCTAGATGCAATGCGTGCTAGGACAAGCAGGTGTGCATGGCACAGAGCTGGAGACCGAAGGCCTTTCATTTTCACCTTTCAGCCCCCCGAAGCCGGTACCTTCCTGAGAATTATTGCGAGTTAAATGAGATAACACGCGTGAAGTGTTTTGGCTTTGCTTGGCTCCTGGTGACCAATAAAAGTTAGATACCTGTTGTTAATAACATTGTTGTCCTCGTAATTATGGTGGGGAAGGGCTCCATAGAGAAGACTCACTCTAGAGAAGGCAGATTTGAAGGCTGACCAGGAATTTATCAGATGGAGACAAGGGCGGAATTTCTGTTCATCCTTGATGTATAGTTTTTAAATATACCATCTTAAGTGGTAGTTATTTAAATTGACTGCAGGGTAGCCAGTGAGTCCTTTGTACGTTTTGGTTCAAGGTTCAGATTTAATTCAAGATCTCATTGATTTCATCGTTTGTTTGTTTGATAGTGGGTGCACCGCTGGAATATGTATTAAAACAGTGGTTGTCAAAGCGTGGTCGGCAAGATAGAAACTCTTCATAATCCTAAAATGTTACTTGCCTTTTCACTCTCTCTCTCTCAGGAGTTGTGTACAGTTGAGTGTCCCAGAGGCTGTGTGCCTTGTCATATTGCAAAACACTGAATGCAGAACAGCTGTCTTCTATTAAGCTAGACTTTAAAGAGATTTGCAAAAACGTAAAACAATGCAGCTCTCACTAAATTGTTTTGTTTTGGAAATGTATTTTTTCACAGAAAGATACCATTTATGTTACTATGTAATGGATTTATTTTTGTTTTTAAAGGAATGAGTATTTTAAATTTTTGTTTTAATTTGTAATATGGTAAATATTGATACATAAAACCATATAAACTGAAGTTGTTTAGGGCCCTTAATAACTTTTGAGTATAAAGGAGTTCTGAGACCAAAATTTGAGACCCACTGTGTTCAAGAAATAAGTTTATCAGAAATAGATGTCAAGAAAGTACACATGTACCTGAAAAGAAGAGAGAAAAATGTTATTCAAAACCCAGCTGTAGCCACTTCAGCCTTCCTGTATGAGGAAAATAAATTTCCATACAGCTTTCTTCTGCCTACAGAGTAAGAGGGAGAAAACGAAAAAGAAATTAGAAAATCTCTGCCCAGGATTCTGTCTCACATAAATGGTCCTTTGTTTTATGGAGACATTAATGGGTCTTTGGCTAGGCATAGGTAAGCCTGGGGCAGAGTTGAAGGAAAGAGAGTTAAATTGCTCTGCATAATAAAGTGAACAGGATTGAATTAGGGGGAGGAGGGGGAAACCAGAGCCCAGGGAGGGGGTTCAAGAAAGGAGAGAGTAGTTCTTTGGGAAGAGTTTTGAGGGGGTGGCTGAGCTACACCAAACCTTCAGTGAGTAATGCCTTGTGTGGGTAGTGCGTTTGGTGCGGTTAGTTTTTTTGTGTAAAAGGGTGGGGAAAAAAGTGTAAGTTTTCTGTCTGGATCTGTAAAAGCAGAGAAGATTGTGGAGATGAGACCCAAGTAAACTCAAAACATCAAGCTGTAAAGGCACAAGTGACCGCACGTACATAAAAGTCCTAGAAGAGTCACAAAGATCTTGAGGAGGCCATTGGACTTCCCATAGATCGTGGGGTATGAGATTTCACTGTTTTTCTCTCTCTCTTTTAACCTCAAAGAGCAAAGCGACAAGTTGACACTGGACTAGTAACTATTTGAAATCCCATAAAGCTGAGAGGGGAGGTGGATGAAAAGCAAGAACAGAAGTGTCACGGGAGTATACTACAAACTACCAAGTTTGATGTAGTACAGAAATTATGTTTCATTGGTAATAATGTTTCATTCATTAGGCCAGGCGCTCTTCTCTTGAAAAACAGTAATGCATGTTGGAATTCCTGAATATAGCTCCCTATAACCGCACCTTCCATACAATCAGGATAAATGTAGGCAGCTCAGAATTATTTGGGGACTCTCACAGAAGTCATTAAATGCAGCCTCCATCAAAAAGAGGGTATGCTGCACATCCAGATGACCAACCCATGACAGACATGTGCTGTGAGAAATAGACTTCTGCTGTCGTCAGACTTTGTCATTGTGGCATCCTTTAGAGGGGTTGGTTTTATAGCCGTACCAACTGGCGAAAGTTGGCATAAGCAGGTATTTGCTGCATGGAGGGTGTCCAGTGCCTGGAAATGTGAATTCTTGCAGGGCAGAATGGGGAGACCACAGTTTTCTGGGTCCATGGAATCATGGATTTGCCACAATAATACAGTAACTAGAGACCCTCTGTGATAGTCTGTTTTATTGTTCACTGGTACTCATGGCCCCTCCTTGGGGGAGGATTATAGTTCGTTGACCTATAGATGACTAACTTGGCTAGGTGATTCCTTTTAGCTGAGAAAAGTAATGTGTGTTGGTTCGGGGCAGCAAATTTAATAGCTAACATGTGGTTCACCATGCTCTCTTTTCCCTCTGCCATAGCAACCCATAATGTTCCAATGTGCTACCAGCCTGGGTCCCTGAGTAAAGATGACGTGGAGCACAGCCAACTAAGGACGTGTGCTGGCAGTGAGAGATGAACCTTTGCTCTTGTGGTCCATGGAGACTTGTGGTTGTTTGTTACTGCAGCGTAATTAGCGTATCCTGATTGATACAACGCATATCCAGATATCTGCCAAAACAAGACTTTTGGGTGCATTCTTCACTTACCATCACTACAGTGTCATCTCTCAGTAGGTAAAGGATGGAGAGGAAGGAACAGTTAGATTACACCTAACCAATAGAAAAGACCTGGTTGGGAGTGTTAGAGTAATAGAAACCCTGGAAGCCTGGCCATGCCATGGCAGAATTCACGGTGCAAGAGGGGAGGACTTGGAGAACATGTACTTTCACTGTAGGAAGTGGCCTGAAAGAAATTCATCAAAAAAATTTTTTTTTTCAGGGGGTCTAAAAAGGACCGTGACTCTAGGGACAGGAAGCTCAAAGAATCAACTTTTGCTCCTAAGAAGGAAACGAGCTAAAGAAATCAGGGTGATGGAGAAATTGGAACCCTTGTAAACTGTTGTTGGGAATGCAGAATGGTGCAGTCACTATGGAAAACAGTATGGAGATTCCTCAGAAAATTAAAAATAGAACTACCATATGATCCAGCAACCCCACTTCTGGGTATTTATCCAAAAGAGTTGAAATCAGGATCTCAAAGAGATAGCCGCACTTCCACCGTCATAGCAGCATTATTCACAATAGCCCAGACATGGAAGCAACCTCAATGTCCACTGATGGATGAATGGATCAAAAAAATGTGGTATATACATACAATGGAATATTATTCAGCCTTTAAAAAAGGAAATCCTGCACTATGCAACGAGATGGATGAACCTTGAGGACATTACGCTAAGTGAAAGAAGCCATTCACAGAAGGACATATACTGCAGGATTCCACCTATATGAAGTTTCTAAAATAGTCAAACTCATAGGAGAGACTAGAATAGTGGTTGCCAGGGGCTGGGGGGAGGGAGAAATGGGGAGTTGTTGATCAGCAGGTGTAAAGTTTCAGTTATACAAGGTGAATAAGTTCTAGAGATCTGCTGTCCAACATCATGCCTATAGATAAAATACTGTATTGTACGCTTAAAAATGTGTTAAGAGAGTAGATCTCGTGTTGTATTCTTACCACAATAAAATAAATATTTAAAAAATCAGAGTGGATTTCTCCTAGGAGCTTGGTTTTGAAACGGATGTGCAGAAGAAGCGGGGAAAGGCAAGAGGCAAACACAGAGGGTTGTCGAGGCCCCATCCTTCCAGGTGCCGCCTTTGTCCCTCCACTGCCACCCAAGTACATAGAAGAGGAGTCACCACATTCTTCATTCTTACTTGATTCTTGGCTTGGGTTCTGAGCCCCTCATCCTGACCTACTGGCCTATTTCATGCTTCTTTCTATCTTCTCCCACCCCGGGGAGCTAAATGTTGGCCCTCAAAAGATAGGTCCACATCCTGATTCTTAGAACCCTTGAATGTTATATTATTTGGAGAAAGGATCTTGGCAGATGGAATTAAGGATCTTGAGGTAAGGAAACCATCCTGAATGATCCAGGTGGGCCCTCAATCCAATGACAAGTATCCTTGTGAGAGACACTCAGAAAAGACAAGGCCGTGTGAAGACAGAGACAGAGATTGGAATGATGCAGCCACATGTCCAGGAATGCTGACAGCCATCAGAAGCTGGATGAAGCAAGGAAGGATTCTCACCTGGAGCTTTCTGTGGAAGCGTGGCCCTGCCAACACCTTGATTTTGGACTTCTACCCGAACTGTGAGAAATAAATGTCTGTTATTTTAAGCAACAAAGTTTGTCGTAATTTGTTACTGCAGCCACAGGAAACTAATACACAGTCTAACTATGTTCTCCTCCCATCCTGTTTCATCACCCATCCTCTATTTTCTGGGCCCCTCTCCAATTTGCTCCTCTTGGTCCTCGGTCACTGTTGGGCATTCCCTCCGGGTAAACCACCCTCCGCGGCCTTGGATCTCTATCTTTCTTGGTTTTCATCAAGTCTTGCAACTGCCTACGTTTGTGCTGTTGCCTCTTCTTTCATCTCGCC